GTCGCGTCCGCGCCGCACGCGCTCGAGAGCTGCTGGCAGATGAAGCCCGTGATCACGCCGATCGCATCCGCGGAGCCTGGGTGCACGCAGAGGTGTTAGTTATGAGGTGCTTTGGGAGAGGGGAGAGGGGGGCGTACCGTGGTTGTAGCTCGTGAGGTCCTTGGGCTCGAAAGCAGTCTCCGTCCGCCCGTCGAGGCCGGCGGCGAAGATGATCTCGGGGACGGAGCACTTGCCGAAGTTGCCGACGCTGCTAGACGAGCCAGAGTTGTTGGAGCTCGAGCTCGCGGTGGCAGTCGCGGCCGCAGAACTGGAGGTGGCCGCAGCAGCAGTCGCGGTAGCCGCAGCGCCAGCGGACGAAGCAACGACTGCAGCGGACGTCGCAGTAGCCTGTCACCGCATCAGCCATTACACAACACCCCAGTCTACCCAACATCAAGGACTCACAGCGGCGGTCGTCGCATCAACAGACTGCGTCACCCCAGTGTCGCTCACGGGGGCGATGCTCGCAAAGTCGGTCGTGATTCCGAAGACAGCGTTGAACGCATCCGCCTGGCCGCCCGTCTTCGCGGTCACCGTGTCGGCAGCGGCCTTGGCCGTCGCACACGTCTGCTTCGCGAGCGCGTCTGCGTTGCACGTGTTCGTGAGCGTGTCGCAGATGAACTGCGTGATGATGTCGATGTTCTGCGCGGAGCCTGCGTGCGAGAATACGTCAGTGCGTGAGGGGAGAGAACAGGGGAGGGGACATACCGTGGTTGTAGCTGGTCTGGTCGACGGGCTGGAACGAGGTCTCCTTCCGGTTGTCGAAGCCGACGCCGAACTCGATCTGCGGCACGGTGCAGCTCCCGAAGTCGCCGATGCTGCTCGCGCTCGCGGTGCTCGACGCAGCCGCGGCGGACGCGGTGTCACCCGCACTCGACGCAACCTGCACAGCACCCCCAGTCGTCAGCATCATCCATGCACACTGCGGTCCGCTAGGTACGTACGGCAACGTTGGAGGTCGCACTCGCAGTGGCCGTCGCCGTCGCAGAGTCCGTAGGGTCGACCGTGACCGTGACCGTCTGCGCCGCACAGTCACTCGAGTCCGCGCCAGTGGCGACCGCGACGTTGCTCGTGGCAACCGCGGCCGCGGACGTCGTCGCGGAGATCTGCTGGGTCACGCCCTGGTCACTCACGGGCGCGATGCTGGCAAAGTCGGTCGTGATCCCGAACACGGCGTTGAACGCGTCCGCCTGCCCGCCAGTCTTGGCGGTGACAGTGTCGGCGGCAGCCTTGGCGGTAGCGCAGGTCTGCTTCGCGACGGCGTCTGCGCCACAGAAGTTGACGAGCTGGTCGCACATGAACTGGGTGATGATGTCGATGTTCTGGGCGGAGCCTGGCGAGCGCGGTCAGGGATACACGAGGACCAGAGAGTATGGGTGGGTCACTCACCGTGGTCGTAGCTTGTCTGGTCTACCGGTTGGAATGAGGTCTCCTTGCGGTTGTCGAAGCCAACACCGAACTCGATCTGGGGGACCGTGCACTTGCCGAAGTCACCGATCTGCGAAGTAGAGGCCGTCGAAGACGCGGTAGCGCCTGCCGCAGTTGTAGTTGCAGCAGTCGAGGTGGCCTGTACCAAGGTGTGATCAGCGATGGGTGTATGCAACTATGGGGCAAACGTACGGCGGCAGCATTGTTCGCAGTAGCACTGATGGACACCGTCTCGTCAACCGTGATCGTCTGAGTGACGACAGCACAAGTAGAGTCATCGCGGGCAGAGAACTTGACCCATGCCTCGAGCGCGTTGTCGTGGAGGAAGGGGCGGGCCTGGACGAGGCCGAGAAGGGGCAGCGCGAGGATGGCCTTGGAGAACATGGTGTATTTTTGGATAAGTGAAGGTAGCTGAAAGGAGAGTGTTGCTGGCCTGCGGCGTGCGGTGGGCGAGACGAATGGACTGCAAAGGAGAGCCTGGCTGGAGGCGATACCGGTGACACCTGGTCGGATGACGAGCGAAAGGACGGCCGTTCAACGACACAAGGCAACGCAAACGCGAGCACGAAGAAAGGAAGGGGAGGGGGAAGACTGATGAGAGGGCATGGGGGAAGCGAGGGGATATTATTATATATGACAAGACGCGTGGTGCGGAGTGCAACAGGCCCGGCGGCGGTTGGGGTAGAGACAGCCGGGCGGGCACACGGCGACGGTGCGACGGTCGATAATGAACGCGTCGCGATGTTCCTTGATCCCGAGACTCAAGCAGTCTTCTGCATCCGCCGGGTGCCTGTACCGTGCCTGGTACCCGCGACTCGCGAGTCGCCATGCCATCGGAATCAAGTGCTTTCCACTTCACCTGCAACCGTCTCGATGTGCAGCGTATGTCATCCGATGGATTGTCCGTATCATGAGCTGGCGGCGGCCTGGGCAGGAGGTCGCGGACATTCGCACTCTGGATGATGGGATCCACATGTGTGCGACGCCCGGATCTTTAGCCCCGCGCTCCCTGGCATCCAGCGTCTCGCATTCTAATTCTTCTGTTAGCAGTTCGACACATTCTGCTTGGTGCATACCTACTCATGGGCCACGTAAGCATCTACAGTAGCCGGTTGGTAGCCAGGGAGGGGGCAGGCCGTCAAACCCCGAGTGAGACCAGCGTCGATCGTGATCGTCTTGTCTTCCCGCGCCACATCTTCTGCGCCACCATTCCGAAGCGGATTATACACGGTCTTGAAAAACATTCCATCTGCAACGTACAGCAGTAGCATAGCATGTCCCACAACGGAATATCTATCATAGCAGCACAACAAACGAGGAGCACTCTATCGGCACCGTCACTGCGCCACGATCCGCTCAATCTCGAGCTGCACCCGCACCCGGGCAGCGATACCTTCCGAGGAATCTCCCCCAAGCAGCTGCCCCGGTGTCCCCTCCAGGCCGACTGTGGCGGCCTCGTACAATTGCGCGAGCAGCTTGACCCATTGCTTGCCCCACACCTGCTTCGCCTTCACGCCACCAATATCCAGCGCAGCTATATATGTATACGCGTGAGCATTCGTCTCCCAAGACCACGAGAACAAGTCGGGCGCACCGTGCAGCAGACCGGGCGCGAGCGAGCTCTTCAGCAGCGCAGGCTCCGCGAGCATCCTCGCACAATACGACCACAGCCGGGGGAGCCTGAACACAGGCTCGAGCGGCGCCGCGGCGTCCGTGCACAGCACATGGAAGTACACGCGCATGAGCCCCGTCACGCGCGCCGTGTACTCGCTGAAGCCCTCCCCCTCGCGGAACCCGAGCGCCTTGCGCCGGTCCGCGGATACGAACGCGCGCCCGTCGACGTCCGCGCGCGGCACGACGGCGGGGACGGGCCACCCGCCCGCGCGCTGTACGAGCTTCGCCCAGAACGCCTCCGCGAAGCCCGCGAGCGCGCCGAGCGCGTGTGCCGCGACCTGCGCGAGCGGGCCCGCGCTCCGCTTCTCCGCCGTCACCTCCGTCTCCGCCTGCAGCAGGATCGCCTTCGCGAGCGAGGACAGCAGCGCGAAGTACACCGGCTCGGGGTGCCGCGGCGAGCCAAGCACGACCGCGACGACCTCGTGCGATATCCGGGTGATCGTCTCTTGGTCGCTCGTGAGTTGCCCGACTTTGGGTGTGATCGCGCGCCGACCTGCGCTCCAGAGCGACTTGAGCTCCTTGTTCGCCTTGACGGTCTTCATGGGCCCCGTCTTCAGCCACTGAGGGGCGGTGAGCGAAGCTGGAGTCTGGGTACCGCGAGTGGCTTACCATCAGGTCTTGTCGTGCCTTCCGCCAGTCCTCGTTGGCAGACGCGAACCCGAGCTGCTTCCTCTGCTCTGCTTCCGCCTCATCCCTCTCCTGCCTCGCTCTCTCCGCCTGCGCCGCTTGCCTCTCCTCCTCCTCCTCCCGCTCCTTCTCCTTCCTCTTTGCCTCTTCCTCCCTCCGCTTCTCCTCCTCCGCCTTCCTCCGCTTGTCCTCCGCCTCCCTCCGCACGCGCTCCTCCTCCTCGCGCTTCTTGCACTCCTCCTCCTGCACCGCACGGGCCTTGTCCTCCTCCCGGCCGATGACACCCTCGATGTGCTCCCACAGCAGCTTGTTGCGCTCCTCCCACTCCGTGCGGAGGCGCTCCATCTCGTTGTCGCGCCGCGTGTTCACCGCTGCGACGTAGTCGCGCGCCCGCGCCCGCGTCGCGGCGAGGTCCTCCGCCTGCAGCCGTGCGACGTGCGCGTGCGTCGCGTGCTGCACGCGGTGCCGCAGGCTTTTGACGAGCGACTGGTCGTGCCGTGCGACGCGCTGCGGGGCCGGTCAGTGTAGGTGTTGCGACAGGAGGGGGAGGACGTACGAGCGACTCTTCTTTCAAGTCTGCCTTCCATTCTTCGTAGGGATCGTGGTGGTTCGCGCGCAGCCGCACGGATGCGAGGACCTCGCTAATGTAATGCTCCTCCGCTGCGCTCCGTTTTGGTCGTTCGCGCTTTCTGCGAATGCGGGTTCGTCAGACGCGTGCAGACTAGAAAGACGAGACTCACGGTCGTGACAGTGTTAGTATTTCCTCGAGGTCGTCAGACAGATACGTCTCCTCCTCCTCTTCGTCGTCTTCGTCGTGTCGTGCGTGTCTCTGCCCAGCGCTGTGCGAGCTCTCGCCAGAGCTACTTGCAGAGTCGGACGCGCCGTCGTCGTCGACTTCAGAATAGTACGCCTCTTCTTCGTCCTCCGAGTCGGACGGCACGCCGAACGTCGAGCGGCTCCTGTACAGTCTGCGCACGGTCAGTCGAGTGGCGCAGGAGGTGCGCGGGGTGGAACGGACCTCATGAGGGGTGGTGGTGACGGTGTGCGCGCGGCGGAGAATCTCATGCTGTTGTAGCCCCTCGCCTATTATGATGAGGAAGGGAGTTTGAATCTGAATGGCCCCAGGCGGTCACCAGTGGGCGCGGCGCCGCCGTCTATCTAGATCCAGATCCTACCAGACCGCCCCTGCCGCCCCTGGCTTACTACAAGTAATCCCAGCAAACTATTTCATCGGCCGATTAGCTCAGCTGGTTAGAGCGTGGTGCTAATACGGTGCTTACGTAATACGCCAAGGTCGTCGGTTCGATCCCGGCATTGGCCAAGTTTTTTGATCCTTTTTCATCGTTCAATGCCACGTTGAACACTCCAGCTAAGTCAGTTACGGTCGTATGAGAAAACATAGTTTTGCATCGGGATCACCCCATCGCACTCATCAATTACCAACCATGAAGCCATCCTCATTGAATGCCAGTGCACCATGGCAACAAACCGAGTTCGACCTCCGAAAATGCTGAGAGCAGCGCCACGACGTCATCTTCTTTACACACGCGAAATTTGGACATTATATGAACTTTTCAAGCACATCATATGAACATGTTGGATTTTTCCATAAAATGCAACTGCTGTCAGAGAAGTTTACAAACGTACTGAATTGATAGGCTCGATACATCAAACAAAGTGGTCGTCAGGTTACACGGCTTTATTAAAGATTCTCGGAGACAGAACTGCGTGCCATACTGCTCGCGGTGATGACGGCTGTGTGAAGTACCGAAAGCAGACCAGTGGTGGCTTGTTCACCGGCTGTGCACATTCACATGCCATCGTCCAGATTTGAGTCGAGGAATATCAACCCTAGATACACACATATGACGCACGACGGATAGCCACCACTGCACCACTGCACAAGCACCACAAAAAGGACGAAGATATAGGTCATCTTGACACCCGTCCCTAGCTCGTCCAGGGGTCGAGCTCCAGTTATGAGCAAGAGCAAAGCCTTCGCCTTGTGGTTGCTGTAAGAGTCGGGGAAGGCAGGCCAGAGCGGGCGCACCACGAGTCAGAAGGCAAGGAGTACGTGAGGAATTCGCAGTCGTCAGCTTTGCTGTATGGGTCTATGGATCGGAGTGTGATGAGACAAGACCACATAAATGAAGCTACCGTAGCCAGCGATAGGCTTACCTTCGAATATAATACTGTCCGGGACGTGCGTTCGCTGCATACGACTTAGCTCCTATAGGGCGGAAACGGATACATCCGTAAGCAGTCGATGAAAGGTGGGTGCGCGATATACCAATTGGCACGATTCTCTAGTTTCGACGGGCTGTGTGACAAAAGGAAGTTAGTGTTGCCAGGATGGAAGTCGCGATGCGTGAAAAGATAGTAAAGATCAATTCTGACACTCATTGCGACTCACCATTTTCACCGCTTGTGAGCGATCGGAGGGAAATACTAGAGACGTTATTGTAACATCCCCGGAAAGGCCTGCAAGACAGTATTGGGGTTGCGTTACATGCTTAGGGGTGTGGATGCGCTAAGAGGTGATTGCAGTGCACGGGTACCCGTACGAGACCAAGCGGGTGTCGAGTCTTATTGACGGCCGTCATGCCTCAGTCTCCCTGGTACTTAGCTATCAGCGTGTAGCGCAGCTCCTCAGGTCTGTGAATTACGGAGATGTGTCTGGTATGACATACCATTGCATGCTGAATCGCCTGCGGATCGGTACCGCTGTCTACGCAGGTATGGCAGCACGCTATTAGTAGGTCAGCACCTCGTCACAGCACTTTGCACGGCACCTCACTCACCACGGTGCAGTGACCCTGCTCCGTGCAGCAACCGCCTCAGGAACATACGCCCCCGAGCGGCTCCGCGAAAGGGAATAATGATAACTATAACGAGGGTAGGCTACACGTAGTATGCGGTATCGTATCACTACATGGACTAGATGTAGTACGTGGCAGTGTCAATCCCGGGGGTCATCACAAATCGTCACAGAGTTCGTCGCTCGCATACAGATGCACATGCATATCTCATGGTGTCGTGTTCTGGTCGTCCTGTTGGTCGGTCGGTCGTGTCGTGTTTTCCGAGTCAGTGTCTTGGGACGTCGAGGTTCGTTGGGAGCTAGTGGGCCATGATGCCCCCGCTCGCGTGCCCGACGTGCATCGGGACGGGCATCGTCCGCCGGTCGAGGTAGAACACCGGCGTCGCGACCGCGCGCCGCCCGGGGCTGCTCTCGAGGCTGACGTCGTCCCACCCGTCCTCGTCGCTCTCGTCGCTCAGGCTCGCGCGGCGCCGCAGGAGGGGCTCCTCGCCCACGCCCTCGTCATCCTCGTCGCCTAGTAAAAAGAAGTGCGGCGTCTTCGGGCGCTGCGGCGCACACTCGATGCGCGCCTTCTCGTCTTCGCACACCGCGGAGGCGGTGGTGTGGTGCGTGTTGTCGGCGCCCGCCGATACCTGCCGCCCTGTAGCTTTCTCGAGGAGGATGCGCCACCGCGCGAAGCTCACGGGCGACCAGCCCTTCGCACACACCGGGAGCGGCGCGTCGAGCACCATCGCCCGCTCGAACTGGTCGCACAGCACGCTCACCGCCCGCTCGTCCACCCTCTCCCTCACCACCTGCATGCCCGCCCCCGCACACAGCTGCGCCCCGGGCCGGAGCATGTCGTGCAGGTAGAGCACCTTGCGGATCGTGTAGAGGGGGAAGTTGCAGAAGGCGCGGTCGACCGCGGCTGCGCGCGCGTCGCGCAGGCTGCACAGGTCGCCGAGGCGCGGGAAGATGGGCACGTCGGGGTCCGCGACGGCGAGGCGCGGCTCTGGTGGGGGTGTTGCGGCGGCGGGCGCGGCGTAGTCCTCCGGGATGGGGTAGTCTGGCTCGTACATCGCGATGCCGTCGTACGCGGTGGACGGATCAGGCGAGCTGGTGGGAGGGTGCCGTGCCCAGTGTGCGCGGCGGCCGTTCCAGACGCGCTTGACGAGCGCGAGGGCGTGGTATGAGAAGCCGTGGTAGACTGGAGGCGTGTCGATGCTGAAAAAGTCGTCGCAGTCCGGCGGGGGAGCGGGAGAGGAGGGGCGCGGGAGGAGGAGGGGGACGATGGAGGCAGGGGGGAAGGACGGGGACGAGGAGAGGCCGTAGGAATCGCGGTCGTCGAGGCGGAAGCGGATGAGCTCGCCGAGGTCGTCGTCATCGTCGTCGTCGTCATTGTCGCAGAGGCCGGGTGGGGCGGCGCGGACGCAGAAGGCGGCAACGGAGAATTCGGGGTCGCTGTCGTCGTCGAATTCGTCTTCGAGGTCTTCGAATCCGGGGAGTTTTGAGAGGCGGTAGGACGCGTGGGTGCGTCGGAGTGGAGGGCGTTTGGAGAGTCTGCTCTCGCAGCGCTGGAGTGGTTCGTCTAGGAAGGGCATGTCAGTGACGTGCTCGGTGCGGGTTGTAGTTGACGGAGAGAAGGAGGAGTGGCGGTGGATATATGCGCGGTAGACGCTATCCACATAGCTGCGCAGAGACACAGAGACGACGTAGGTGGGGGACACACGCATCTCCGGCGGCGTCGCGGTTCCACACCCGCCGCATCCCGGATCGGGGTTGAGTGATGTCGGCACGGTGGCCACAGCCATTCTGCGCGCGACGACCGCGGCGACCACGGGTGAGCGCACAAAATAGACGTTGGAAAGACATGCTGGGCTGCAAGAGTGAACAATCGAACGCACCTGAAGCTGTGTCCTCGCGGATAGGTGGGAGGGGTGTGCCTGGACGCACAGGTACGGTGGAATGCATCTTGATGTGGTGTCGAGGTGTGGTAGTCTGATATTACAATCGTACAAGGTGACTGTTCGACGCCAGAGCGATACAGATGGAAGGGGACAGCGTCGACGAGGAGGAGGAGGACAGCGCACAGACCAATTGGGCGTCTCCCACATCCCAAACCGAACAAGACACGCCTATCACGTGAGGGCGACATATTCTCCCACGGCCCGCGGATATAAGGCCAGCGCAACCCCTCTCGTTTTTCTCCCCACTGCAGCAGACTCGAAGCCGCGACGCTCGCCCCGCACAGGACTCCCGTCCCCCCTCGCGAGCGGGCCAAGGTCTGAGCCTCACGGACGGTGTTCCAGGAGAGCCTATCCGCCTTGATGGCACCGGTGTTCATCACCCTCCGACACGACCAGCAACTCGCCGACCATGGCCTGGACGGCTGGTAGCCAGCTCGTACCAGCAGGGGTGCTGCCCCTTTACAGCCTTCAAGTCGACTTGAAACGTGTCGGTTCACAGGTACGAGCATCATCTTTATCTGTATTCCTCCGTATCTCCCTCCCTGCATTGCACCGTCTCACGACGGACCCACCCATATGGGTGGATGAGGTCCTTGAGAGGTGTCGTAAACCCCCATTGGGACGAGACGCTATGGCGTCGGGTCAATTCCGCGAAGTGGTGACGACTTGACGTCGGTGCGGCCTTTGGCCGAGGCGCCTGCACCGACACTTTGTTGCCCCGCGAGAGATGCCACCAAGTGCGCCTACCTGTGCGCCCATCGTCACCGGACGGCAGTGCACCTGCCGGCGCAAGCACATGTCTCTAGCACAGACGTAGCCTAGGTCCTGAATGGCCTACTGCGCACAACTCTCCTCGCATGGGGGGACCTCCCTGCAAGGAGGCTGCACACTCCGGTCTCATCCGGACGACACACACGTCGACGCAACCCCGCGCGGTTGCTAGTGCAGACGCAGCGCAGACCCGAGCGGTCTCGCGCTACACCCACATTCTGCTGCTGACACAGAGACTGCGCACCCGGGAAAGCCTATACCGGCCAACGAGCCGGCGCTGGATGATGTACGACACTTTTCTACATCCCTTGATGTTCCGTTGTGGTTAGATACCACGCGTCGAGTTCAAGGGGCGGGGACTGCCCTTGCGCGTAGTTCCTCTGGTGCTATGGCGGAGGCGTTCTGCTCGCAGACTCTATGCGCTTTGTACAGCTGCAGGAGAGGGGCGCCCTGAGTGGCTGCACTCACGCCTTGCGGTCTCCGAGGACATCGATGTATGAGGGGAGATGGGAGTGAGGACGCCTTTTGGTCGTTCGCGCAGACGAGGTGATGCTTTTCAGTGCAATTCGCGGCACACGTATTTTCGGCTTCGTGCCACGTGTAACTCGATTCAGACTACTCCTTGTCTGCTGCACACAATTTTTTGCTCCTCGTTCCTTTTCGCGAGGAACTTAGGTATTGGTGTACTGTAGCTTCTCGCAATTGAACATGTTTTGTTCCATGTGTACAAATTCCGTGAGCTCCGATTGTGTGTGACTTAGGACTGCGCTCGGTTGGTCCGAGGTG